AACCAATATTGTCGACTTCTCATCTGAAATGTTTCACTTATTATGAGATATGTAATGCTTTTTGGAAAGGGTTGACATGCGTGAGGTACCAGATATAGTGGATTTCATCCATAATTCCATTTCATCTAATTTTCTAACCAATTTTTGGGGAATAATTGTTAATCATATCTTGAACCTTTTATGGGGAGGTGCGAGAAGGAGTCAGTCAATAAATTCCATATTCACATCAGATCTCTGGCCGAAGGAAATATTTAGATATACCTAGTTGTAAAGAATCGCTGACTTGTTACGCAAATTATGCGAGTATTGAACATTTCGAACCTTTGTGGGTAGGCCGATGTGAAGATGGAATACTTCACACCATGTCTTGCGTAAGTTAAAACATTGGGATATGTGAAATTTAAAGAGAATCGGATACTTATTTTGCATTCTTACAATTATTCAATATTTTGACCCATTGTGAGGGAGGTACCAGTGGGAGTGGTCATTTTTGAGGAGTGCATATTACGAATGTCAGGGACGTAGGCATCAAATCTGATGAAACACATGGCTATAGCGATATCCGAACCGATTTTCACCAAAATTCCAAAATTCGCTCCATTTGGGCCGATATCGGATAAAGATATATATGGGAGCTATGTATATCTTAACGGATTTTCATCAAATTTGAAGTACTTGTTTCTAGACTGAATTCGTTCGGATATATCGAAATATCGGATATATTGAAATCGGGTGCAAATATTTTTTTTATATGCAATGGAAATGGAGATTTTTTTGGGTAATTCATAGAAAAATTTGATGAAGAATATTGTTGTCTCTGACGTCATGCTTCGAAAATGATGCTTTATAGGAGATTTTTGCACAAACTCGCTCAAATTACGTCTCTAACCCTAAAATGTTTATATTCATGAATCCTGGAAATTATGGAAAATGGTCGACTCCGACCGACCTTAACCATTGCTTACTTATTTTGGTATAAATTGCGCCAGCAGGTTTCCTAGGGTATAAAACATTTGTAAATCGGGATTCCTTGAAGGCTTGTATGAATATATTCACAAGAAAAACAAACAATACGAATGTTATTCCACTACTATGCATTAAAAGAAATCTCTAAAAAGGGTTTAAACTCTAAGTGTTTACCTAACTATCTCCTTGTTATTCTCCATTTGTTACATTCAGTTACATTACACGTTTTTATGTTTTTAACAAAGAAACATCCATTTCGACTAACACCTAAATCGCATTTTCCCCTTGCATCCGTTTTTGTTTTCCTCTTCTTGTTGTTATGAATTTGTCAACACCATCATTCGAAAATAAACCGGTGCAATTTATGGCAAGGAAAATTCCGTTAGCCGTACCTAAAACAATGCTTAGTGCGTGAAATGAGCAAGTGTTGTATTTAACACCTTCCCTCCTTTCATTGTTTATTTACAATGGGTTTTGTCGGAATAAGGTCAGCCAGACAACTGCATCGATGTTATAACCCTTTTGTCCAAATGGCTCAAGGTCAGTGTGATTACAGTTATTTGGAACAATGTTGGTGCATTGTTAGAATTTGTGAAAAGTTAAATAGTTTAACACTCAGTGGAAAAAGACACGAAGAAAGGACAACACTGGACAACGACATTTGAAGAGAAAACAGTGCACAATGGGACGATATAAACAAAATGCTCTAGATTTAGTTAAGTATACACTCATATTAAATTTTCCATAATAGTTTCGTATAAAAGTGAGTATCTGATATGTCCAAACTTGGTACATCGTAATATTTCTTTTCGATATTAGATGAAGTTTGAAGATAGGCAATATAGAGGGTGAGATGAAAAAACTGCAACCAACTTCAGACTGCTGTCATTTCTAAGCCACACGTCACTATATTGTTTACAAGGGTACAAAAGCATTTTAATGAGTATTTTCCAGAATAAAAGTTAAGCGTAATAGTGTGATTTCTTTATATTTGGCTGGAAAACCACAAGGGGCTATCGTTAGAGCACTTCAGAATTTAAATGTGAATAAATCTTTTGTGTCTCGTACCATTGCTCGTTACCGTGATACTGGTAGCGTAACCCGACGTCAAGGAAGTGGACGGAAGAAAACAACAACATCAGCAGAAATGGTTCGAAAAGTAAAGAAGCGACTTGATCGAAACCCGCGTCGCAGTGGCCGAAAAATGGCTTGTGAGCCGAACATTTCGCAATATTCCATTCGGAAAATTTTGAAAAATGAGCTCGAGGTAAAGCCATTGAAATTCCAAAAAGTGCAAGAACTTACACCGCAACAAAAAGAAAATAGACTCAAAAGAGCTAAAGAGTTACATCGCTTGGCCGAAAGCCGAAATTTGGTTTTCTCCGATGTTTTCTCATTCGTTGTCCAACAGTTTGTAAACAATCAAAATTATCGTGTTTACCTGCTAAGAGGTCAGCTGAAAACGTACACCTTCGGTTGGCCACCAGAACTCAAGCATCAGAATAAATGCCGAATATTATCGCGAAAATATTTTGGAGGGTGTATTAAAGCCTTGGGCACGCAAACATTTTGGCTGCAGACCTTGGACATTCCAACAGGACTCAACACCATCGCACTCAGCACGCGCCACCCAAGAATGGTTACAAAATGAGGTTCCTCGCTTCATTTCAGCGCACAATGGCCACCAAAATCTCCGGATACCAATCCGTTTGGCTATTGTGTCTGGATTATTTTGGAAAGCAAGGTTGGCACTAAAAAATACCAAAGTGTCGATCACCTCAAGCAAGCGCTTTGCCGGGAATGGGCCAAAATACCGCAGAGCTGGCAGCGTGTGATGGTTTCATTGGCCATTTGAAGGCCATAATTCGTGTCAAAGGTGACCAATTCGAACAAATCTAAACTTATTCCAAAATTTGATGGTATTTCCGACATGTTTTGCTTTCATTCAATAAAATTAAAAAAAAGATGTAAAAATTAAGACGTTTGACTATGTTGCAGTTTTTTATCTCACCCTGTACATCTTGCAACCGGTTCCTTAGTACTATTTTTTTCAGATTCTTCAATGCGAGCCTTTTTGAAGCGCCTGACGTAATAGTTTATTAGTCTCATCATTTGTTAGATCGACTTGGATCCATCTCAAACTAATTCATCATCCACATCCATTCCGCACTATATTTCTATGTCCTAAAACACAAAAAATCTTTATAAATTCACGTACTTCAAGGAGGCATTCCTTGCAGTCAATGGCACTCTCGATTTAATGACACTTATCTAGATAGAATTAATAGGGTCGCCTGACTATATAAAATGTATGTAGTCGCTGGTTCTATTATACTATTGCAGAGTTCTTTTACCTTTATGTCTACCTTCTTGAATTAATGAATCTAGGACTAAATAACGCTACAATTGTCATCAAGCTTATATGAGCTTTTAATTATTGGTTTAGTGCAGAATACGACAGTCCCGGTGGCTTTATCCATCTTGTATTCGTCGGTTACATGGTTAAACCGTCCAGGGTTGGTTCACCACCAGCCCTAGCGTCTCTTTCCGGTATCGTTACGTCACACATGACATGTAATCATTAATTTTATCAGCTTCAGCTACGATTTTTCAACTAGAAGATATGTGCAGGATTCATGCATGACCAAAAACGGGGCAAGTGCTATCCACCCGCTTCCCGTAGTCTCAACGTACTACTTGTTGTTTGAAATAAATTGCATAAATACAGTTCAATGAGACTTTTTTCGAACGCTTTTCGATTATTCCAGTTTAAATGATTTTTCCAGGATCACACGAGATATTTGGCACTCAAAGAAAAAGGTTCAATGTCACCCCATCCAGCACTGGAAGCGGAAACTTATCCACTTCCAAAATGGGGGAGATGCAAGATGCATCGAGAACATTATGGATCAACTCGAACTTCACATGGTTGAAGCCCCCTCTATAACGAGAAATGTTGCCAAAGTAAAGTTGAAGTTTTCCTTATTCTTCAATCGGGAAATACCTTTCGGAACCATTTAGGGAAGGGGGTCCAACTGGCAAAAAAAATACATTTTCTATACACCAAGTACAACAATTTTTAGAATAGTAACTATTTCGGGCCCCATGCGTACGACCTTATTGTTGGTGAATTTAAATTTGAACGAATTTCCAGCTCCAGTATCTTTTCTAAGTTCTTCATCAAAAAGGAAGAAAGGCTAATCGGTCTGTAGTCTTTGGGCAATGTGTGACTAGGTTTCTCGGCTTTTGTAATATAGGTCACCGTTACTTCTTTCCACAGACTGGGTACGAAGCAATATTGCAGGCCTTTCTGAGTATGTAGCTGATATAGGCTCCATGTAACGACATTCTCAGATGTTTCATTTTAGATTTTTGAGTTTTGATTAAGTGTTTTAGCATTTTGTGGGGGATCGTGACAATTTCCAACAGAGTTATGTGCAATTTGGTATATGAAATCGTTGCAAAAATTTTTGTAGAAATAAATCGTCATATAATAGTAGTGCCAAATTCCAAATATTCTGAAAATTTACTAATATTCACCAAATTTTTCATGGTATTTATATTTTTATGGCTATTTCCTACTCCAGAAACTACTAGTCATTACGATGCTATAGAGACAATATAGTATTCAACAAATTTTCAATTTCTTTCAGGATGGCAGCCCTTATTGTCCCACAGGTAAATAGAACACACATGCATGGTTCCAGTGCCAACATTTGCCCAAATACAACAACAATAAATACAAATCCCACAGAAATGGAAAATATGTTGAGATATAACAACCAAATATGGGTAACAATACTTAAAACAACATACTCATGCTTCCTCCCTACACGCACACTTACATATGTATGCATACATTGATTCGATGCCCAGAGCAAATAACAAACATTGTAAAATACAGCAACAAAAACAACACCAATAAAGATACTCTCAGTTGCACATGCGTGTGTACGTGCCGGCCGAACTTTGTATGCACTACGACCCAACGACCAATGACTGATTGGCTGGCTGACTATAAGAGACCCTGTCAAGAGTTCAAAGTGCATTAGTCGCTTGTGAACAACTGATAGCAACGCATGTTTACAGAAAACGGAAAAAACTACGAAAATCCCAAAAAATAACAAACCAATAGAAAACAATATAAAATATTCGAAATGATTTGCATTGGATTTAAAGTGTCGTTAACAACAGCATTCTTCGTGTTGTGTCTGGTGGCCGCTACCATTGCCGTACCTTGGGGCATGCATCAGAGTAATTATGATGCCAGTCTAGATCCAATTGTGTGGTCTCGGGGCTTTGTTAAAGACTCTATACGTCGTCCCCGTTTGTATCGTTCAAATGTGCACGATGAACCAGAGGAAATGCCAGATAATCTACAGAAGACTTCCAAAAAATCGAAAGCCCTACAATCAAATTCTTATGATTTGCATGGAAGAAGAGCTTATGCCAGGACAAATGCGGATAATTTCAATACTTACTACAATGGAGAATCTTCGTTGCGAAAATACAATTCAATGCGTAGAAGATTCTATCGACGTCCTCAAAAGCTGGATTCCCGTGATCGTTATGATTTTGTCTAGAATTTGAATTAAGTTGCAAGTGTACAAATTAGAGTAAGATTTAGAACGATAAGAGATAATTTGGACGTGATAACTGTGTATTTATTTAAAAGCTATCGAACCTAGTTGAGTAGGACAACTATTTAGGTTACAAAATAAAAACCATATATAATTGCTAACGATCGAAGTGTATCATAAATATTTATAGATATATTTCTCAGATGCAGTTGCAATGCAACTTGTTGCTGAAACTATTACAAAATGTATTACAATAACGCTCAAAATATATATATTTTTCATATATTTAGAAGAACTATTTCAAGTGTACATATCTATCATTAATAAAAATTTATAAAATATAAATTATTTGTTATTTTCTCTTCTCCTCCTCTCTAGTTTCTAAAGAAAATTTGTAAAAGGTCTTCTTGCATCTTTAATAAATAGAGGACATCCTATAATGTTGGGTATACATACGTATATGAATATATACTGTCTAATATTACCCTGTTAGTTGCCGCTAATATTCGGTTTCTGGATCCGGTTCTCAATAGACAATCATTTAGTACATCTAACAGTGTCCCGTAACATATGGCGCCCAATAATAAAAATAACAATCAATGAAGTGAAATAGTAGCAAGGTACTTAGAAAAATAGACCTTAGGGAATTCACGGTACTCGGACGGACTCCAGGGATGGAGGAATAACTGCAGTGGTTGACTACAAGGTGAGATAAAAATAGACTGCAACAAAGTCAAAAGCCATAAATTTTACATTTTTTTTTAATTTTATTGAATGAAAGCAAAATAATGTCGGAAATAGCATCAAATTTTTGAATAAGTTTAGATTTGTTCGAATTGGTCACCATTGGCACAAATTATAGCCTTCAAACGGCCGAAACCGTCACACGCTCCCCGAATGTTGCTCTACGGTATTTTGGCCCATTCCCGGCGAAGCGCTTGCTTGAGGTGATCGACACTTTGGTATTTTTTAGTGTCAACCTAGCTTTCCAAAATACTCCAGACACAATAGTTCAACGGATCCGGAGATTTTGGTGGCCATTGTGCGCTGGAAATGAAGCGAGGAACCTCATTTTGTAACCGTTCTTGGGTGGCGCGTGATGAGTGCAACGCGTCCTGTTAGTATGTCCAAGGTCTGCGGCCAAAATGTTTGCGTGCCCAAGGCTTTAATACACCCTCCAGAATATTTTCGCGGTAATATTCGGCATTTATTCAGATGCCACGGTCGATTAATACGAGAGGAGAACGGCCGGCTTGAGGCTTGAGTTCTGGTGGCCAACCGAAGGTGCACATTTTCAGCTGACCTATTTAGCAAGTAAACACGATCATTTTGTTTGTTTACAAACTGCTGGACAACGAATGTTTTCTTATCGAAAAGAACCAAATTCGACAGTTCACCACTTCCGACCGAGCGAAGCAACTCTTTAGATCTTTTGAGTCTATTTTCTTTCTGTTGCAGTGTAAGTTCTTGCATTTTCAATAGAATTTCAATGGCTTTACCCCGAGCACATTTTTCAATATGTGCCGAGTGGAAAACTACGATATGTGCAGCTCACGAGCCAATTTTCGGCCACTGCGCACGGTTTTCAATCAAGTCGCTTCTTTATTTTTCGAACCATTTCTGCTGACGTTGCTATTTCCTTCAGTCCACTTCGTCGGGCTACGCTACCAGTATCACGGTAACGAGCGATGGTACGAGACACAAAAGATTTATTCACATTTAAATGCTGTAGTGCTCTAACGATAACCACTTGTGGTTTTCCAGCCAAATATAAAGAAATTACGCTTTCGCGCTTGAATCACGAATAACTTTTTTCTGGAAAATTCTTGCCAAAATGCTTTTGTACGCTTGTAAACAATATAATGAGCTGTCACTGGCGGACGAGTGGCTTAGAAATGACAGCAGTTGGATGCAGTTTTTTCATTTCACCCTTTGCATGGCGCCCAATGGTAAAATTAACAATTAATGAAGTGCAATAGAAACAAGGTACTTAGAAAAATAGTACTCGGTTGGACCTCGAAGGAAGGTAGGCAGAAAAAAAAAAATAGCTACTCATACATGTCAGATAGTAATCTTGATCCAGATCAACCAAACATTATAATATGTCCACTGACACTTTCTAACGACTCACTGAATTCTATTCCACTATGCCTAATTCGGTTCTTAATTGAGTCCTGGATTAGAATATAGCGCTGATTGGAAGAATGGGCGCATTTAAAATTTTTAAGATGTAATTTGTAACATTTGTATTATATGTAATTCGGAACATTTCAATTCCATTTGAATTTTGAAATATTTAATTTGTAATTCGATTTTTTTTATTTGTAATTCGAAAAAGCGAATGTGAAGCAAATGCAACAATTTCTTACGATTTTTTTGTTTCGAATTTCAATGGAATAATTCGAATTTCAAATGAAATATTTCGAAATAAAAATGGAATGTTACACATAAAAAATTGGAAATCTCGATTTATAATTGAAATATGGCGAATTACAAAAAAAAACTCTCGAATTTCAAACAAAATGTTTCGAATTGCATCAGAAAAAGGTGTAGAATGAGTTGTTCATCCCATAGGCAGCATAAAGATAGATACTCCTGACCTTCGTTTAGGCACCCACTTCCTCGGTGGATAGCGAGCTACCCCAAGATTATATGGGCGATCAACACCTTCCAACCCTTCAAGTCTCCTGGTCCTGTTGCCATTATACTGGCAATGTTTCAAAATGAATCTAAGACCTACATTAGAAAGGAAGCGAGGCTAATCGGTGTGTAGTTTTTGGGCAATGTGTGAATAGGTTTCTCGGTTTTGAGAGTATACGTTTCCACAGACAAGGTACGAAGCACCCAACATTGCGAACACCCATCTTGCAGAAGACTTTTAAGGTTTGTCGTGGGTTGTGTTTCGTTCCAGTCGGTGGCAAAAGAGATAATGGTGGCCCATATTCCCAAAGTTGAAAGCCCTTGTCACACATTCCCCCAAAACTTCACCCCGAATTGCCTCCTTTCCTTTCTAATGAGGACCTTGGAAAAGTTATTGGAGCAGGAAATTTGTTCAAATTAAAATTGATCAACAACAAGGACATCACGGCCGATTAAAGACTGTCCTACATTAATTTGTCAGATTGCTTGAGTACTTGCACTATTCCATTTTTAGTACTTTTTGTATGGAAAATTTAATTTTTTGCCAGTTAGGCATCCCCCCTAAATGCTTTAGAAAGGCATCCCTGTGTACGTACCTGATTAAAGAATATGGAAAACTCCACCTTTTCATTGACAATTTTTCCCGTTATCCTGATTGACTGGATTTTCAATTCCAGCTGGGAAATCGAGCTCTATCAGGAAAACTTTCGGCATAGATACACCCAGTGGGAAGTTCTCTTACACCTTATTTGACTTCTGGCGAGTAATGAATGAGAGTAAGCCCTGCAAAGATTGAACTTGTACTAATCACAAAAAAGTAAATAAAACGTTGCTAGCAGTGGATGGATGCACTAGATCGGTACGATTCTGGACGAGCGTTTTAAGTGAAGCAGGGATATCGAGGTGTACAAGTCTTGCACTGTATTTACGTCACAATTACCTTACCTTTTCTGACATATAGGTGTCTTGTCTTGTGCCATGCGAGTATGTTAAGGTCGCTCATGTCCAAATTATCCACCGGAGCTCTCAAGAGCGTTCCCCAATCTACATTGAATGTGCTGCTACATTTCCAGCCACTGAATATTCAAGATGTGCTAATTGTAGGCATGGTAAAATTGAGAAGGTAAAGTCATTTTAAATAAGCATATCCATCTCTGTATTTTCGGTAATTTACCTTGTCAAATTTCACAGAATAAAAAAGATCAGATCTCCGATTTCTGTGTATACAATGAATTTATAAATATAATTTTTGGCAATGAGATGTTGTCAATTGAATAACTTTGAAAAAATTGTAAACATATAATTGCATAGTTTTACCTTCTTAATTCCACCATAGGTGTGGGTAATATTATTAGTTATTACATGTCAGATGGGGACGTCAGGGCTGGTGGTGAACCTCCTCTGGATGGTTTGACCATTCCCGACGATTCCAAGATGGGTGAAGGCACCGGAACTGGCGTATTCTACCCTAACGCAATAATAAAATGCTTATATAAGCTTAACGATAACTGTAGTGTCCTTCAGACCGAGATTAATATATCAAAAGAGTGCAGACGTAAATTTAGGAGAATTTTACAATAGCATAATATGAGCAGTAGCTATATATGTCTCTAAATCTATCTATTTTAGTGTCATTAAATCGAAAATGCAATTGCCAGCAAGAAATGTCTCCTTGAAATACGTGAATTCATAAGGCTTTTTTGGGTTCCAGGACATAGCAGCATGGTGCGAAAAGCATGACTCGTCCATAGGGCATATCCATTCTCGCTCTCGTAAAAATGCTGCACGACGGATATATACCTTATTTCATCTAGCCAAGTTTTCCTCTTTTTTATCAATTTCAACATGCTTGGAGCTTAAAAATTTATCAAAAGGTCAGACCAGATCTTCACAATCTAGAGAGGAAAATAACCGAAACATTGTTTCCAATCAAAATGCTTGTGAATGGGAACCAATATTTTTCATATGCTTAATATTTAAAAACCTTATAATTGTATAAATAACTCAACTGTTTTATTCAATGTCATATTTTATAAATAGTTACAATATCCACATATAAAGCATACAAAAAATGGCAGTTTCACTTAATGTGCACTTGAGTAACATAAATTTGAAATTCGCCAAAGTGTATAATAATAAGAATAATAGTTGAGCAATATAATATCAAATCCTTCGTGCTGCCAAATCTCATTTCCGCATACCCACATATTTTGTCCAAATTCCCTTGGCATCAAAGTAAGGCTTGTTGCGCGAACATACAATGGCGTCTTTGAAAATGGAAGAATATATCTCTGGTATGGCCGGGTTTTTGTAGAGATTATAAAGGAACTCATAAATCTTAAGGACATAAAGAAGATTATGTTTTAGTTCGTCTTTTGGTATGTTCCAATATTTTTAGATTACTTACTTTCGCCTCTTGATCTTTCCAAAAAATATGATCACATAAGAACTGCATACTCTCAGGGAAAATTTGAAACCGTTCGTTGCGTTGTGTGGCTACTACATCTAAATTGCCCAATAGCACTGCACAGCCGGACAACACATCCACGGATAATATAAAAATATCTAATAAATACAATACCTTTTCCAATTTCTCCTTATTCGATGATTCGGCCAGGAGAGCTTGAATTTGTATAAACATTTCCATTATCCAATTGCACGATTGTTCGTCGCTATTAAAGGCATACAGAACCGAAGTTAAATGTCTGAAGAAAAACAATTGGTCTTCTTTTCGTGTGGCATAAGCATCAATGATGGGATTAAGCCATTTCAAAGGATTGCTGATATTTCCATTGTACAATACCAAATACGAACGAATTATTGTAGCCTTTTTCAACTTGCCTATGGGAGTTTCCCACCAATTCGAGGGTAAAGTGAGGCCATCGATGGCATTATTGGGCAAAACAGCCACAGCTTCAGTATATCGCTGAAATAGTTTCGAGTCGACATCCATGGAATCCATATAACGTTCAACAATCAGTGTGAAAATGTCCAATACTTCAGGAATTTCACATTTTCCCATGAAAATATATTTTACACTGTCCATAAATTTCTCAAATAAACATCCTTCATTAAAGCCAGCAAGCTGCGATTCTTTAAAACAATAGACTGCAACCTTTTCGGCAAAGTTTTTCAATATCGTCAAGCTAGCACCATTTGAAATTTCGGGCAGCAAAGAAAACAATAGCAACAAATCTTCTTCGAAACAATTTGGCTCAAAATCCATGAGGAAGTTTTCCAATAAACGCTTAGCGGTACCCGAATGTAGCAGTTGATTTTTCGCTATGAGAATACAATATTTCCTGGTATCGAAGGACAGGTGAAAGAATGAATGGAGGAAACTCCAATCAACCGGTGGTATGGGTTTCGGAAACTTTTTCGATATAGCTCTCAAGGCATTGGTAACGGCTATCGGTTCGGCAACATGATCTCCATAACGTGATTGGTTAACCAAATAACTGATAATGGCACGCAAAGGACTCTGTGGATATAATCCCTGAAGTTTACGAGGTTCTGGTTTGCCATCAGGCAGGCGATAGAGACCTCCACGGAATTCATTAATTTCCCCATAAATATAATGAGCAATTAAATCTGCAGCAGCGGCCCCACACTCTGGTCGTATTTTTTGCAACAATTGTACCCATACTTCCCCGGGTATCATTTCTTGTTCAAGATCAACAACTTCACGACCATTCGGACCCTTATATTCTCGTGCAACATGCAAATCTTGCCTAAATTGTGGTGGTATATGCTTCAGTGTCAGCAGTGTACCAATTTCATAGTGTTTTAGTGCTTCCAATGCTTCACGTATCATTTCCGGATCGGTATCAGAACGACTTATGGTTAACCATAACTGATCGAGAGCCTCGTCGACCAATTGTTCAAACTCAAGTGTTGGTGTCTGCAGCAATGGAACGTGTGCAAAGAATTTATACAGCGATTTAAGGGCCCGAGGTCGCTTCTCATGTCGAAATTTACTACTCAATACACGCCAGGTTGATGTTATATTAACGGTATTGCTGTCACACAGAGCCACGATGGCGTCCAGAGCAAGGGAGGTAGGTAAATCACCAGCATCGTCGGTGCAGGTATTGAGAATATCAGAGAGGTGGGATACCAAATCGGAGCCGTGTTGCGTGGGTCTGTTAAAGAAAGAAGCAGAAAGATACATTACTCTGGAACCACAGAATAAAATTTTAACCCCTTACAAAATTATTTAAATTAAAATATATTGGACTAACAAAATCGATCCCATTACCCAATTAGGACTGGGATAAAGGGTTCCTTAACGTTTTTGAGAACAGTAACCAGGAAAACCTAAATTACAATTTTGGTATTTATATAATATGGTATTAAATGGAGCAGAATTATTGGGGTCCAACGAGGAAAATCAACCTAAAACTTTAACCTAGGTTTGGTTGAGGTTTCAGGTTGATTTTCTGACAAATATCTATCTATTTCAAAAAATATATAGTCGATAGACACCGAGAAAGCTGAGCTACTGAACTCAACACACAAGATTGGACAAGTATTAATTTAACAAGAATATCTGCGTTTAGGCACGACAAAACTGAAGAACAACAAAGCAACAATGACAGAGATATTGTTGACTGATTGATTATACCTTTTTAATTAATTTTGAATGAAATCTCAACTTAGAAAATTTTTTTTTTTTTTTTGAAAAACCGAAATCATATGTTATTTTGAGAAGAGGCTTTGATTACTGCTTATCGGATCTCTTACACCTCTCTATTGTGACAGTATCACAAAATTGACCAAAAAGTCTTCGAGTTGACTCGACTTGTAATAGATTTCCCAAAGTAACCAATGTATGAATTTTCTTTGGTTAGAGTTTTATATAACTTACTTTTCATAGCATATTTCACGTATTGTATACGTCTTTGCAACATCAAATTCCCATTTATTACTTTTAACATCTTTGGATGGCAGTGACAGTAATTTAACCAGGAACGGATAGGTACGGGATTCCACACGCCAAAGTTTTAAATATAGATCCATGCTGAATGTCGGATTGTAACTACACAAATTTCGAATGGTATTCAAAATCATGGGTATATTGTCCTTAAATAAAAGAAAAACCACGATTATTAATCACTCACATCAAATAAGTTTTGATTCCCTTACCTTGGATATTGCGAAATTTGGTAGCCCTCTTAAAAGTTCCATCTGCAATTCAGGATTGTGTTCGCCGGCCAACTTGAAAATATAAGTCATTAGGAAATCATATGCGATGTCGGCATTTACTTTTATTATTTCCAAAATAACTTCGTAGATTTTAAACCAACAATCCACCGATGGCTCACGGGACAAGAATAAGGCACGCAGGAATAGATGTAGCCGCTGGCAAAATGTTGTATTCGCCTTAACATTGAGGGTATCCACAAATGTGTAGACATCTTTGTCTTCTGAATCGTCGTACGATTCCACTAGTTTGGCCAAATCAAATGCCATTGCTATATCCGGATGAAAATACCGTATGGTTGCTGATTCAAAGGTTTTGGTTTGAATGGGTGTTGTTGCCGCATTTCCCTTAATGACATCCAAGATTTTACGTACAATTTGATGGGCTATGGCCAGACCATCTGCAGGTATAAATGCAGTCTGAGACATCCACTGGATGATACCATCTAGACACATGTTCAGAATGTATTGATGCCCACAGTTTTCCTGAACCACAATGAACGAGATAATACGCAGCAGATCTGGCAAATAGCTGGGCGATAACAAGTGCAAGCTTTCCGAGAGCAGGACTAACATAACATTATAATGACTCTGTGAGTGTTCTCGTGTCGAGTGCAGAACCCTTAGAATACAATGCAAACTGGGTCGTGGATCTATGCCAAATTTTACCAAATGATTTACTACCAAAATTTGAAAGACCGACAATTCAATGGATTGTTTGAAATCTTTCTGACTCAAGAAATGCTCAATGGCTTCTATGAGCAGGGTAGATGTGAACAGGCAATTTTGAGAGGTTGTAATTTTGCTCCATGACAAGACTTCTTGCATTAGGGTCTTTGCCTCCTGATTGTGTTTACTTAAAGCCAAGAGACCGGTCCATATGGTTTTGGAATCGGACAAGGTCTGTGGATTACACAGAATGTATAAATAGACAGGGCGCAAATACTCTATGCCAAATTCTTTGATTCTAAAAATAAATGTAACAATTGTTTTATTTTTAGAGAAAAATGACCCATAAACACACTTACTGTTTGTCGTGATGATTACAAATACCATTAATTTTGTTCGCTACGTCATTCATGTTAACCCCTGGATTTTGTAGCAGAGTAATCATGGGATGTTGTTGCGTTTTAAGGCCAAATTGTGATTGGAATTTCTCGTTTTCCTTTAGCGTGGCAGCCTTTCGTTTCAAATTCAGCAGAAGGAGACTGACAATACCTTCGGTAATGGTGGTGTATTGAATGTGACTGTAAGTAGAAACAATAAATTAATTAAAAGCCACATCAAATGTACGTAGGTGTAGATGGATATTAATGGTGTTGAAGTGTTATTTCTTTCTTCTAACCTTCACTCAAAAAGGTAACAACTTCCTTAGAAAAAGAACCAAATTCTGTTTGGTCATTTCCACACACTACCCACCACCAAGAACCTTTGTTTATTGAACTTGTGGAAAAACCGAAAACAGAAAGTGGCGGAAGTATTGTTCAACAAACTTCAAGTCACGAATTTATAATTGAGCAAAACTTAGCTAGCCTATATTTGACTTCGCATGTGAAAATATCTTTCCATCCACACATAAATCTTAGTGAGATGTTCATTTCATGTTTAAATTAAATTTCAAATTTACTTCTTAACATGCAAAATAATAAATTGTGTTTATAAAAAAGTGATAAATTTAAATAAAAATATGTAGGGCAGAATGTCATCCGATGAACACACATGCTTTTTGGTTATATTAATTTCGTTTGATTTTAGGCCACTAGTTCAAGTCAATGTTATCGACCTGAGTTTCTACATTTTTTGTGAGATTAAGAGCATCATAAGTTTGTCATTCCATACGCCCCTAATGCTATGCCCAATTTCTGTCAGAATACATACAAAATCAGATGCAACATGTTTTCTTCATTTATAAAAAATGTATGATATACAGGGTGAGATAAAAAAGTTTTTTAAATTTATCGAATGAAATCAAAAAATGTTTTTCTACAAATTTTAGAATAAGTTTAGATTTGTTCGGTGACCAACCATTGGCATGAATAATGGCCTTCAAATGACCAATGAAACCGTCACACGCTGCCCGAATGTTGCTCTGCGGTTTTTTGGCCCATTTCCAGCGAACCACTTGCTTGAAGCGATCGTCACTTTGGTATTTTTTAGTGCCAACCTTGCTTTCCAAAATACTCCAGACACAAGTCCAACATATTGGTATCCAGAGATTTTGGTGGTCATTGTGCGCTGAAAATGAAGCGAGAAACCTCATTTTGTAACCATTAATTTTTCAATATTAGCCGAATGAAATATTGCGATATGTTTAGCACACGAGCCATTTTTTGGTGACTGTGACGCGGGTTTCGATCAAGTCGCCTCTTATTCACATTTAAACCAAAATGCTTTCGTACGCTTGTAAACAATATAATGAGCTGTCACTGGAAAAATTTTTAACAGCTGTCGGACTAGTGGCTTAGAAATGACAGCAGTCTGAAGTTGGTTGCAGTTTTTTCATCTTACCCTGTATACAGACCTGGTATAGAAGTTGAGTCCGATAGTATCAGCTAAGCAGTTGTCACAACGAAATAATACGATTATGATGACGTACGAGAAGAACCATTGTGTCCTTATTAAAATAGTTAACAGGAGACGTTCTGACATTTTTGAATACATCTCCACAACACTGTATATGCAGACCATGCTGGATCTACACGGCCCCTAAGTTCTTGGATTAATAAGATCTCTGCGGTCCGTGTTGTAAAAATTTATATTTTCATATATATCACTTTGAAAAAGGCGACAAGCTCGATAAGATAGATTAAAATGACATCCATGATAGTACAATTATCCACAATCTCCAGATTTAAAAATTCCGCTACCTTCGCAGGCTGTAAGTGGTAGTGGATATGGTAGGTTTAGCTGGGCAATTAAAGACATGCAGCGTATTATGCGGTCCTAAGTCACACGCCGAGCAGACGGCATAAATTCCTGACCAATACGAATTGAGGCGTCCTGAACGCCAAAATTAGCCTGATTTGTGTAGGCAGCCGACGTTCAATCATAAAGACCGACCTACCGTGTTATAAAAGGTCAACAATGTTAGTTTGTCCGCACCCAAGTGCCACCGGCTAGTGCTTTGAGGAACTTGTTCCTACTTTTCAATTTACCGAAGATAGCTGTGGCTTGCGTGGTCGGTAGTGACCCTTAGGATCTTAGGATAGTTGGAGGTCGGAACTAAACTTCTCTCGACCAGCACATTCAAATGAGGAACTGCCGAAGTAATGGGGATTAACATGTCTATATATCACTCAACAGCTGTGAGTTGCTTCATTTTCATTAAGAAACAAGTAAGGAAAGGCTATAGTCGAGCGAGGCCGACCATGTGATACCCTACAACACTACACTTTGTTAGAAGCCCCTTAATGTGCAAATCCATCTTCGATGATCCTAATTCTCTTCTCAGGAAAAATACATTGTCGATTGATTTCAATTGTGTGATCAGGGAAATTGTTCTGTTTTTGGTTCATTTGGCCCCTAAATATTTCGTGACAATCTCCAAATGCAAGAGGCCCCTCCGTATCTCCAAATTTAGACTCGTCTATATGACTTGCTTGTCTACAAAATTTGGCTATATTCGTCAGCGAAATCAGCATTAAGGAAAGTTTGCCTATTGTGTATTTTGGATTTCGCTTCTAAGTTATTTTCAGCGTTTCGGTAGAAGGGAAATATTGGTATTTTTTCAAACAAAAGTAGTGGTCCATTCTACTCGCTGTCCCAAACTCTAACTTCATGCGTGATTTCGTATCCTTAAGTTTATATTTGTGACCTTTATAATGGCTGCGAAAACAGAAAAATTTAATTTTTAGTTATTGGTCCATTTCAACCTCTAAATATATTGCCCTTCTGAGCCTAACCCTACCCTTATGAAAATTTTCGTGAGAATGGGACGATAATTACAATATCTATATAATAACACTAACCTGTGTTGTAAGGTGTAAAAATATTACAAAATATACAAGTCAAATTGAAAAAATCGCATGCGATAAAATATATGAAAAACTAAAAAAATTGTCACAAAATACTACAAAATCTATATTAACATCAATATTGGCATCTTTTTATGCATTTTTTTTTAAATTTTATACTTTTATGCCAAGAGGACATTCTGAATTGACAAAATTTGTCAGAATCGGTCTAGCTATTCTTGAGATATAAGCATTCTAGCTAAGGGATGTTAGCTAGAATGCTTATATCTCCTTAGTATATATACATTGTATATATTTCGCTATATATATTCTATATTTTTATTATCGGCATCTACGTAACGGTCAGAATTGACCTGTTCGGTTATTTGTGATTTCGCCGGAATTAAAAATATTCGCGGTTTAATGAAAATTTTGACTTTTATTTAACACAAATATTATGGTCTATTTCACCCACTAAAAATTACCCGATGACCATCAAAATTGGAGGGCTTCTGCCCAGTCCTAAGCTCTAGTCCCATGCTAACTTAACTTGGTCTATAATTGCGACCTGTAGAGTTTTTGGTCCATTTTAACCCCTAAATATCATGCGATCATTAAAGAAATAGGGTTCTATTCTGACGTAAACCCCACCTCCATTTTCAATTTCCTGAGGATCATAATTGCGACCTGTAGAGTGATTACAAATTAACATGGACAGACGGACGGACGGACATACATAGCTAGATCGACTCAGATCGGCGAGCTAGGAAGATCCATATATACTTTCCAATGTGGGAAACCAATATTTCGAGGTGTTACATAATTTTTGGCCCAATCAAACGTATAATACCTCCAATACATAGATACATATACAATTACAAATTAACATGACATACATACATAGCTAGATCGACTCTGCTCGGCGAGACAGGAAGATCTATATATACTTTCCTATGTGGGAAACCAATATTTCGAGGTGTTACATAATCTTTGTCCCAATCAAACTTATAATACCCCCAACACATAGTGTTGTAGGGTATAAAGAGACCCGAATGACACAACTCGTGGTGAAAATTAAAATTTCTATGACGAAAAAATCTACTGTTGTTAAGTGGTAATCTAAACATCTTAATCATCACTACTTCTCAGTTTCACATTTGACTGCAAACCCCCATATTCCATATACGATTTACGAGTCTACATCAGAAGCATGATGCAACATAAGCACTTTCTCTGTAGTCTTGCAACCGGATTAAGCTGGCGCAATTGCTGAAATGTACCCACTGTGGGGAATGAAGCCGCTGGCGATGTATCTCCAACATTTCCCTTGGCAATAAGAATAGAGAGGAGGTCCAATTTTAAATGAGCTATCTATTATAGTATGTCTTCGAAGAATTCAGGTATACCTTTTACTGGAGTTCTTTAAAGTAATCTTGTCTTTTGAGACCTGTTTTTGCCAGAAGTAAAGTCAAAGGAAAACCCCTTTCCTTGAAAGATTTTTTTTTAATTTTAGGCTTTTGCAAGGTTTATATAAGGTCGGCCAGGAGGACCATCTGACAACCAAGTTTTCTGTCAAAATATATTTTGAATTCGCCCAATTCGTCCTATAAATACAAAAATAAATTTGTAACGTTCATGTCAAGAACATTTAGAAGTAATTTAAAGATTTTGAAAGGAAATCTAAATAAATAACATCTGAAAAGGAAAATTGTGCGGCTTTTACTTAAAAATAAGAATTTGAAAAATATGCCGAAGGAGAGTGGTTCCTGGAAGGGATACTTTTTTCGGTCCCAAAGAAAGAAGTTTCGCGGGCAGAATGGAGTAAAGTTTGCCAGGTAAAGTTTAAACCAACGTCTTCTGTATGCTCTCAACACATCAACATTGGTCATGTGGTGATATCTGGTAAGAGATTTATACTGTTGCCTATAGCTTTACCACAAATGGAACTCTCCACTCCTTCCGTTTCAAAGAAACGATTTTTCTAACACAACAAAATCGGATCATCAAACTCTGTACATCCCAATAAAAGTATCAGTGCTTAGTCAGGTGCGAAAATGGACGATGTCGCCCTTCACTATAAAGAACCTCCACCACATAGGGGCACAATTTTCAATATTTATCTCTCATAGCAAATACAATTCAACAATTCTTTCCAAATTTTGTGAATATGGAATGTATCGTCCAGCTCCTTTTGGCTCTTTCCACACAAAAGTTCAACTTTCTAACAAGGCCTACATAAGCTCGGCCAAGAAGACTACTTTTGACAACGATTTGACAATAAACTTGGTAGTTTT